ACCCCCCCCCCCCCCCCCCCCCCCCTAATGGCACATTTGACGCTCTCTGCATCCTCAGCAACTCGGGCGCTCTTGAGCGCACGTTAAGCGGCTTCGCCCTGTACTGCAGCCCAAAGCATCCTTGACGGTCCGAAGATTTTGATCCCTTACAGCTGCCGACATAGCGCGAAAAACTGTTCGAAGGTCGTCCACCGGAAGAGCGCAGCCGACTCGGATCCGGACGCGGCGCAACAGCGACGACTGGGACCGGACATGGTCGATTCCGGGCCAGCCGAGAACAAGACACGCGCCCGAGACCAGGTTGAGGAGCAGCAGGCGCGCTCGGGGCACTTTCACCGGGAACTTGAGTGCGAACGTGCGGCTCACGCGCGGACGAGCGAGCGCACGGCCGCGCTCGGGCAAGCATCGAGCACAACTGTTCCGTCGCTATCGTCATCGTGAACGAGATCGGGCGCGTGCGGGAGGCGCTGCCGGCAACAGATCCTGATGCTGCTTCTGAGACGCCGTCAGATGAGCAGGCGCGGATTCGATCAAAAAGTCATCACCAGTCAACTCGATAGAGCCATCGCTGGTGGCTGATTCGAAGGAGCCGACGCCGAAGTAGGAGAGCGCCCAATCTAGCGAGAGCAGCACCGCTGGTCAAGCGGCTCGGCCCGATAGAGGTACACGCAGAGGCATGTTAGCGGGAGATGTTTGCCGAGCGGCGACGTGCAAAGGATGAGGCGGTACCGGAGCGGTCCGCGAAGGAAACTGAGATATCAAAAGTGCGTGGACGTTGGGTAGAAGTGGAAGATGCGCTGAGGGTCGAGCGTGAGATGTGGGCGGTGGAGGAGGCTCGGCGAATGAATGTAAAGCGCCGTTTTTGGTTCTGGCGATGCCGGGGACATTTCTTCAGCCTTCGAAGAGAACTTGAGAAGGCGATGAAAGCTGATGATGGCGTTGGCGCTGGTGCTCTATCATCGAACGACCGCTTTTTGGCGATTTATGAAACCGGAGAAGGAGATGGTTGCACTTTGACCGCTACTGCCATGGTCGACAATGGATGATCTAAACTGTTGCCTATACCGAAGCTCCCCTCGCTTACATCACTTTCGACTCTTTGACGTATCCGAGAGCCCTGAGCTTTCTCTTTAGCGCGCTCATGCCGCCGCCGTGTTCAAGCATGCGCTGCCGCCCAATCGCGAGGGAAAGCTACCAGAAACCTTACTCCTTGAAGCATCTGTGTCCCGGTTTCGCAATGACCCGTCCGCGCACCGCCCCTGCCGCCCCGTCTTCGTTCTACCGATCACTATTCAATTCAAATATTGCCTTTGAGCTTCATCCAAAGGTGGATTGGAGTAAAACCTTGCTATAGCGGGGACTTCTCCTCTACCGCGGATCTACGTTCTTGCGAGTCGCGTCGAAGGAGACTTGTTTCCCGCAAACGACCATAGATGGGGGACAGGCCCGAATTTGGTGAGGATGGAATTGCTTACCGAGCCCGGGGGAGTAGCAGGTACCAAGTGTCGTCCATGTAGAGACACGCTAGCAAGAGGTGGTCTCTAGACTGTGGCGGACTGAGCACCAAGACCGTGACGAAATAGTGCGCGAAGAATATCAAGATATATCAGTAGAGCGCTCGCGCCGGTTGTAGGCGGAAGATGCGCTGGCAGACGAGGGCATGCAAGATGCGGGCGCCGGTGCAAATGTGTAGCCCGGCGGAAGGGGAAGGCGCTGTTTCTGACTTCGGAAAAGCTGGAAAGTGTCTCTCCGAGTCGGTGGACGAGGATGATACTTGAGGCGATGAGTTTTCATCAAACAACGCTGGCGCAATTCAATCTTGTCTGATCATTGATGGAATCGAACTATTAGCGGAACGGCGTAACAGTTTAAAAGAACACGCAAGTCCCACTCTGAACATCCACGATGGTGGAAGGTGAAGAACAGTGTCTCCCGCAGCAATGTGAGGCTATTCGTCCTCTCGTGCTGTCCTCCTGAACTTCTTAACCCTGTATGCGCGTAGTGGCCTCGGGAGAACCGATGTTGCAAGAATTACCTCTGCAAACACCGGTCAATCTGTCGAGACTGATTACCTCGCGCGCATGCGAGTGTGCTACAGGTAGCACCACCTCCATTCGAGAGTGTACATTCACTAATTAGCGCTATCACGACAGATCCTCCTCCAGAACCCACGGGTCCCTTTGCAGAAGCTTTCCAGCTTCACGAACGTTTCCGTCAAAGCAGCGACCTGGAAGCAGCAAATCGATCAATCGAGATTTATCAGACCATTGCCACGCAATGTGCTACACAGCAGGGCTGCTCCGTTCATGATCAATGTCAAGGCGATCCTATTCCAGACATGGTGCATTTTCGCTGTAGAAGGTTCCACGTTCTCGCCCAGCTAGCCGGTGTCCTTCAAGATAAATTCCGGTACACCAACGATGACGATGATTTGAGCTCCGCTATAAAGAATGTTCAGGACGCCCTGGCTCAGTGTCTTGCAGAGGACGTTGCATGCCCCACGGTTCTTATGTTCTACGCAAATATTCTCGATTCACAGTCTTCCCGCACATTAAACCCTGAATCCAGGGAGGTTGCAATATCTGTTTGTCGACATGCTGCCCTCGTGTCTACCCCGGATAATCCGTTGAGAACAAACATCATCGGCCTCCTTGGGTGGATAACCCTGATGCGGTTTCGTGATGCTGGCAATCAGGTCTATTTAGAGGAGGCTCTGGATCTACAGCGATCGGCGGTGTCCATGGTTCTCCCATCGCAAGAAAATGATAGGCACAAGTACCTGCGCTACTTGGGCTACACTCTGCTCCTTAGGTATCAGGCCACCAGAAATCCTGAAGATCTAGAACAATCCGTCTCAGCATCTGCGGAAGCATTCGAGCTCTGCCCAATTACCCACATTGAGCGGAGTGTTGTTGTCCGTCAAATGATGGACTCACTGCGCTTAAGGTGCTACAACTCTGGTAACATTGATGATATCAATCGAGCGATAGATATTGGACGAGATGCTCTCAAAGCTGCGTCCACAAACAGCAACATCGGAGATATACTCAGGGAAGCATTAGGTGGTATGCTCATTTTACGCCATCAAATCACTCTATCAGGGGGGGATGACATTGAAGAGGCCGTCCAACTTCTGAGGGTTACCTTCATGCGTTCTCTTTCCGGTTCGATGGATCAAGTAGCTCGGTCTGTACATCTCGCCATCTCTCTGCGTCTGCTCTTCCTTTGGGACGGTGACTTAGGCCACCTTGAGGAAGCCCTTGAGCTGAACCGTCAGGCGGCAGGCGTCTTACCTTACTCAGATATGAGGTGGTTTATCACAGCTCAAGAGTTAGCAGATTCATTGTCAGCGCGCTTCTCAGAGGTCGGAGATGCTTCAGATCTCGTGGAGGCACTCGAATGGGATCACCGTGCCATCGCAGCCATATCACCATCACATGCCAGTTACAGCAGTGTTGTCTTGAACACAATATCTCACCTATGCCTTCGATACGAAATCCATCACCGTCTGGAGGATCTGGAAGAGGCTGTGGTACTATCACAGGAACTGCTGGAAGTTTTGCCGGACGGTCACATCGATAAATTCGACACCGCGCGCCGACTAGCGAAGGCGCTCTTGCTGCGTGGACAACACAACAGCGATGCCTTGGACATCGAAAGAGCCGTCCATGAACTAGTATCATGGAGATACGAGCTCTCACAAACATCCGCCGCCCAAGACTGTCTTCGTATTATCACCACCTGCCATCTGATCAAATATCGTGGATCGAGAGATCCGAGCGAGATGGACCGAGCAATGGAAATGATGAAGGATGCTTCAAACATAACTCAACGTAGCCAGCGTGAGCGCTATCAAGGGATCATCACTGCCGCGATGTTGCACATCGAACGAGGAACACGCTACCAGGATCTTTGCCTTGCCTTGAGTTATGTTCAGGATGCATTGGAGAATAACCATATTGATGTGCGATCTCGACTCAAAGAATCTATCGCCATTCTGGATACCATCCGCGCGCAACATGGTGACATAATTGCCTCCGAACATCCGGTACCCACCCAGCTCCTTGCCATATATCGACAGACCATCAGCCTGCTGCCACGCACTGCGTTCCTGGGTCTCCACTTTCGATCCCGCTTGCAGTCTTTGCGATCAGCTCAGAGTGTAGCTCTTCATGGTGCATGCTACGCACTCAAGATGTCTCTTCCAGAGACAGCGATAGAGATTATTGAGCAAGGCCGTGCGGTGTTTTGGACGCATCTCTCGCGGTTGCGATCTCCTTTCGACCCAGTTCCAGAGGGATTGCGTGACCGACTATCCTCACTAGCTAGACAACTGGAACGAGCAGAGAACAGTTCTCATACCGACGACGCACTGGGTAGACGAGCCGCAGAAGCAGAGAGCGCACAGCGAAGGCGGCAGTGCGAAGAGTTCAACTCGCTTCTAGAGGAGATTCGTGGTATGTCGGGCCTTGAGCGTTTTCTCCTGCCGGATGAATACGCCGCGCTGGCAAGGGCCGCATACAAAGGACCTGTGATCGTTCTGATATCAAGCTCGCTTGGATGCTATGCTGTGGTCATACGATCGCCCGGTAGTCCCATCAGCATCCCCCTCAGAAAAGTCGAAGATTCCTGGCTCGTGGAGTCAAGTTTCACGTGGCGTGTAGCGGTAGAAGATGTGAGGTCGATCTTGAGAGATCGTCTGAAGATCTCGAAAGTAGCTTCCCAGCGTCCAGTACCAGTTCGCGTGAACATCGTCGATATTCTGCGGAGCTTGTGGGAAAAGGTAGTCATCCCGGTCCTGACGGCCATAGGACTCAGGGTAATAATCATGCTCCATCACGTTGAAGGCAATGCTGACCGTATAATATTCTAGCCGGCTACCGGCCGAAGGCGGCCCCGCGTATGGTGGTGCCCCACCGGGAATTTCTCGTGCCTTCCCATTCATGCTGCTGGCGCTGACGGAGCGAGGTGCTCCGACTATGTGGTCTCATCATATACACCCACTCTCGGAGTCCTCATTTCTGCCAGAGAAGCGGCCATGCCGAAGAAGCAGGAAATGCGTGCGCTCGTAGCCGCAGTACCGCGTTCGGATGCATCCCAGTGCAAAGACCTTCTATCAACACGTGACGAAGTCAGCTATATCCGAGACGCACTTCCGAAAGAGAGTCTCATACCTCTTCTGCCGGAAGACGATGCCTTGGTCGGGGATGGTGGCGGAATGAGTGCGAAGGGACTACTCGATAAGTTACCCAAAGCAACTATCCTACACCTTGCGTGTCATGGCCAACAGAATTCGGATGATCCCCTGAAGAGCGGTTTCGTGATGCGCGATGAGATGTTGACGATTGAAAGGCTGGTGCCGGAGCCGCTCCCGAACGCGTTCTTAGGTTTCCTGAGCGCCTGCGAGACTGCAAAGGGGGATGAGGTGAGTGACAGACTCATCGGCTCGAATCGAAGTCTGACCCTGCTCAGGAACAACCCGACCAGACGATTCATCTCGCAGCAACGTTGTTGTTCGCCGGCTTCAAAAGTGTAATTGCTACACTCTGGTGAGCGGTCGCTCGACTTGGCAACGAATAGAATACCACGCTTACTCCGTGTACACGCAGGTCCATGGAGGATATCGACGGACCACAGATCGCCAAGTCGGTATATCGTGACATATTCAGTGGAGACTCGGAGTATATTGATCCGGACGATATCGCATATGCGCTTGATGGAGCGGTCCAAGAGCTGCGCGAGATTCATCCGGATCCGAGCCGATGGGCTCCGTACATACATCTTGGGATATGAGCAGTTCTCGTGGTTTTCGTTTTCGTCCTTGTCTATCTGATAGTTTTAGGTATATGTATACGGTCCATGAAAACGTTGGTGTGTATGCTTGAGCGCCGCAAGAACTGACCTGCCCTAAACTCATTTAACGGCGCCAGCGTGAACGCACATCGGCTGCGAACATTGCCACGATGTCCGTGATGTCCATCAGGCCCTGGCTCTTACGGTTCAGAAGGGACTCCATCGTCCACAGCTCGTCTGATACGACCTTGATTGTTCACCATCTCTACGTCTAGTCTGCGCAGCGTCGACGCGAAGAGGAACGATACCATCTCTGATGAAGGGCAGCATCAAGCTGGTGGTAGCCATCGCGTACGCGCCTCCTCGGGCGCAGGTGCTCACGGCGCTGCACAAGGACGGCAAGCAGAGAAACTTGCATCAAGCATTGCGCTCAGACTTTCGGGCACTGGGAGGGATCCCACTTCCCAAGGCGAAGTCGATCGCGTTTGGGTTGCGCGACGAAATCGGGTTCATCACATGTTCTTGGGCGTATAGCAAAGTTAGTGATGCTCGCGCTGTCCGCGAGTAAAAACTTATTGATGCCATGACTCCAGCAAACGGCGGACAATATCTGTTTCAAGATCGTCGAGGCCAAACAGGACGTGATGGTTGATCTGTGCATGTACGTCCATCTCACGGTTCGGGCAAGAACGGCTAAAAACCGTTCATCTCCAGAGTGACTATCGCTTATCGGTACGTCCTCGTTTGTATTTCGTTCATTATGCCACCAACACGTTACAGCCTAGTGGTCAGCGGCAAGGTGGAGATGCCTGAAAGCGCGTTCGGCACTCATGGCCAAACGATCAATTCCCGCCTCCCTTACCGCGTCGACCTCACAGGTCTGACAGAAATGATGGAGATTGCGCCGCCAGCTGTCACTTATACCATCACCACGCGTTCGCCCACCACTAGTCGTTCTAAGGTCGAAATCCAAGCCCCAACGCCCACGAAATCGGCGTTCTCTGCGGAACGCACGAGCCTCCCTACAGCACCTTCAACGGCAGCAACGGTTGCAGAGTCGGAATATCGTGAACCCCTAGGAACGCTCAGAGAACGACCCATCATCGTAGAGGACGAAACTCCAACATTTACCACACGGTATACGCCCCTCGCGACACTCTCGTCTAGCAAAGTCGCAACAGGAGCTAACTCAATCCTACCGAACAAGGGCAATGTCAAAGGGCACCGGAGCGAGCCCGTACCTTCAGTCCATCCATTACCACCGAAACCGATGCCGAGGAGTGATAGCCCTTTACCCGACATCGCGACGGGAGATCTCGTCAACATATTCCATCACGTCCCTCCGCGACATGCCTCATGCGTTGGACGGCCCCAAGCGCAGGCAATCCCGGCTTCTGTTAATGGCGAGCCAAACGGCACTAGAGCTCACGACGCTCGTGAGTTTTTCTCCCGCTTCAGTCTACTTAAGTTCATACCGCTTTTGCAGTTATCCCTGGTAGTCATCATGTGACTACGCGTTCTCCGGACGATTCCGACCCATCCGGACGCCCGACGAAGCGGCGCCGGATCTTTACCGATGACCCTCCCCGGGCAGATCCATCCGACGGAACCAGGGATTTCGCCATGGTTCCTCCATTGACAAAGAAGCAAAAGCGGCGCCAGCAGAAGCAACTTCTGACGCAGCTGAACGCCCATCCCGTTATCTCGGTTGAGAAAGGTGATGGCAAAGGAGCGTCAGCCTCGTCGATCGAGAACCCAGATGTGACAACATACGTGGAGGAGCCGATGGCGGAGCCTGTTTCGGAGAAGGGATCGCGGGCCTCCTCGAACGAGGTGGATCGTATGGTTCTAGACGCTAGCCCCGCGCCGCCGGATCGCGATGAACCTTCGGAATGTGGTGGCGACGGCGATGGCGCACTTCGTGCCGAGCTAATGCGCCTCCAGGCTCAACTCGCCGCGCTCGAGGATCGCTGTACCGACCTCGAGGCTGAGTGCGCCGTGCTCGACACGGAGGCGCACGAGAAAGGAGAGCTCGCGGATCGCGGACAGGAGACGAAGCTGGATCAGGATCACGCCCAGGAAGTCGCAGAAGATTTGAAGGCGGAGAAGCGGGCGCATGCGGAAACGCAGGACTTACTCGATCAGGCGGCACAATCCCAAGAGGCACTCGACGACGACATGGGTGAGATGGCAATGGCACTGCAGGAGCTCGGGAATGAGAACAACGCTCTCGTCCGCGTCCTCGAAGGCGCCGTCGAGCGGGCTCGTCGAATGGTTCCCGGTCAACCTGACGATTCGTCCCTGGAGAATCCGACAGGCGAGCAGAGTTCCCCGCGTTGGTGGTCGGGCCTCGTTTCTCGGTCCTTTGACAGCCTGCAGGACCACCTACGAGACGTCAAAGACGCGCTAGCGCAGCGGGCTCGGGAGAACGAGGACCTGCTGCGGAGGCTGCGCGAGGCGGAGGCTGCTTTTGACGACGAGCTTCGCGCGAAGGAGACGGCGAGGACGGACGCTGAAGAGTCGGCGGGACATGCCAAAGAGAGCCTTTGGCGAATGGAGACGGCGGAACGTGCACTGCAGCTCGAAAGCGTACGTCGCTTGGAAGCAGAAGCGGCGCTGCAGAAGGAGAGGGAGCGACGACTGCTGGCGGAGTCCAGCTTGGGCGACGTGATTGCCGAGTCTGCCTCCCCCTTCATTGTCCCCGCGTTGTTGGACGCTTTTCTGGACTTGACGCGGATGACCTCACAGGCGATGACCCAAGCCGGCGGAGGATGATACGTACGAAATCCGATTACCATTTCGTCTTCACGTGCCTGTACTCGTGAATACGTGCGTTACTCATACTAGCATCGAGTGGAATCGAGCGACCCACGGAAACATAAAGGGGTTTCGACCGCCCAGCGAAGGATTAGGGCATGTCCACCATCACCTGCGACGTCTTTTCGATGTCGGCCGCATGTGGTCTGTTGTGACTGCGGTAGTTCAAGCATTTCTGGGCTAATTCCCAAATGGGTTTTGGCATGTCCCGAGCGGAGCCTTCTGCCACGAGACGGGGTCCCCAGCGGTGATGTTCAGGGTGGGGAGCGCATGCCGCCGAATCCATGTTTAACGTGGGACGAAGCAGAAGCGAGACTGTGGATGGAGGAAAGCAATGCAAATCGAGATTGCACACTCGCCACGAGCGCCTACGCGGCGAAGTAGCCACCGTGACCGACCACAGTAGCCACATATTGAAGTTATTGTCGCATGTCTCAGCTCGCGACAGCTTCGACCTCCTGCATTGCTGGTAATCGACAGCCGGAGTGGCTGGAAAGGCCACGATCCTGAATATAAAAGGAGCAGACCCGGTGCGGTCATGATCACCGTACTGTCAGATTTGCGCACTCGCCACGCCGGCTTGTAGCCCCTATCTTCGGCCATTCGATACGAGCGACGATGGACTCCTTTACATCTTCACTGCTGCTCCGTGCGCGCGAGAAGAATGCAGCGTTAGGGAGGCAGCTTGCGAAGGCCCTCGAATCGCTGCGAGAAAAGGACTTACAGACCTTCATTGATAACATGCACGAAGTGAGTATTTACTCGTCTCAAGGAACGTCGCTGCGGCGTCTCTGACCACACGTCCTCTGGGACAGGTCACCTCACAATGGCGCAACGAGGATCCCGCTGATTCGTACGCGCTCCTACCCTCACCCATCGCGCCGCTACCTTCGAAACTGACAAAAGCTCGTCCTCAGGAGCTTCTCCCGCCTCCTCGCGCAGTTATGCCAAGAGACGCAAAGCTTGCCCGCTGCTCTCCTCTTCACGGACATCGCCCCGTCCAGCGCCCCCGAACCCACCCGCCTCGGCAGCTCCTCAGACGTTTTCAAGGGCACGCTAACCACGTCGCGCACGGACCGGAAGCCCACGACTCGGGCTCAACATGTCGCGCTCAAGCGCCTTCGCATCTTTCCCTACCCCGTCGCCGCGCCGCCGCCGCGATACTACGTACGTCCCGGCACGCCCCCCCTCGTGTTTCCGTTATATTTCGCGCGGTCTGAGCATGCGTCATGTCGAAGGGCGATTTTGTGCGCTGGAACCTGCTGCGACACCCGCACGTGCTCCCTTTCCTGGGATTGACGCAGCAGCGCCAGCAGGAGCTGGGGGCCGGGTGCTGCATCGTCACGCCCTGGCAGAAGCACGGCAACGTTCGCGCGTTTTTGCGCGACCACCCCGATCCAACCGAGATCAGTCGTCTTGTGCGTTGTGTCTCTGCACCTTTCCCCCGCCCTGAGAGCGCTCCGTTGATATGATCGGTGGGGTTATTTATTCCAGCTGCTCGAAGTCGCACGCGGTTTGGAGTACCTACACAGCGAGGGTCTCGTCCACGGCGATCTGCGCGGGGTAAGCATCCAAGACCCCTCGCGTCCTCATTTAAAAAATTCCATTTTTTTTTTCTGACCGAGTAACGTTGGATCTGGCAGGCCAACGTGCTCGTCCACGACGATGGACGCGCGCAGATCGCCGACTACGGCCTGCGCAGGTGGCTCGACGACGCGGCGATGGAGGAGTTGGCCGGCGAGGGCGGCATTAAAAACGCGCGATGGGAGCCGCCTGAGTATATGGCACCATCATCCAGCGCCGACGGGGAAGGCGGCGAGGTCTGGACGCCCGCCGGGGACGTGTACTCTTTCGGTCTCCTGTGCTGGGAGGTGAGTCACGAAAAACCGCAGGATCCCCGCTCGCGGATTCAGCGTTGGATTATTCGATTCTGATCTATATGGACCCAAAGCTTTGGGCGGGCAAGTGCCCGTTTTGGGAGACGAAGCGGAGCGCGGCGGTGATCCTGGCGGTGATCAAGGGCAAGAGGCCTGATCGGCCGTCCGTTCAGGCGGGGTACGTTAGGGATATGCCCGGTGCGCTTTGGGATTTGGTGCAGAAGTGCTGGGTACGCGATCCGGGGGCGAGGCCGACAATGAACGAGGTTGTGCGAACCATGTCAGCTTGGTGAGCTTGAGTCTCGACGAGAAAGAAGTATGAAGTACTTATAGGATGAAGCTTGGATTATTTGTATGTACTGTACTTTTACGACCGTAAGTTCGGCCAGGTCGGAGGGGGACAGGGGACACGACCCAAGTTCGCGGCCGTGGGAAGTTCATCCGCAGCCTGCCCGGGGGACACGTGCTTACGAGGTCAGATTTTCTTGATCACACGGTCAGATTTGAGACTCTCACGGTCAGATATAATGTGTCCCGGAGGTTCGGAGTGCCAGGGGGACAGGGGACAATAAGTTCGGTTCGGGTGCCCCGGGGACGCGGGACGAACTTACGGTCGTAAAAGTACAGTATGTTGTTGACGCATCGTGACCCACCTATGCAGTGTTGCCTTTGTATACCAATTTCCAACATGAAATTGACACTCATCGTCTTCCACGAATCCGCCAACAACTTCTATCCTTTCGAAGTCCGCGGGTCATGTGCCTGAACTGAGATGACATCATCAGGCAGTTGCTCGATGGCCGCTGCTTACGGTCGTGTTTCGGTCTCAGCCCATGGTTTCACGCTCATCACTTCGTCTCCGGACTCCGCTTCTGGTGTTGCTACTCAGTATTCTCGACGGTGCTGCGATGTATCCATACAGAGATTCGTCTGGGGAGACGCCCGTGACAAATCCGTATACAGCTGAAGCACATGGTGCCAAGCGGCATCGTCGCTCAAGAAGACGTCCATTTAACCATCTTTTCCCATTGCCCACTCGGCTCACCACGACTGTCTAGGATGGTATCACCAGATGACCTTCCCTCTACACCTCCGCCGGCCCATCGCCGGTTACCTGCTGCCCCGGAGCAATTCATCTGACACACGTTCATCACCCCGCCCGTGGCATCCCTGCCGTGGTCTTAGCGCCCCGCTCCGAAACCGCCGCGTCCTATGAGACCCGTCCACTCTGACACACGAGGCCCGTCCACGTCCACGCTATCCGCGAACCCTTCTTCCCTCGAACAGTGCGTCCGTGATGCCATGCCCGCCCGAAGCCAGGAAGTTCGACGACCCGGGCTTATAAGGGTTCCCCAACCCACCCCGGCCGACGGTTCGACGCGCGACCGCCCTCGGACATCCCGCCGCGCCGATGCTCTCCGCGCTGATGCTCCGCACGCTCGTGCTCGTCGCCGCATCAGTCGGCCAGCTGGCCGCTGGCGCCGCCCTCCCCGCCAGCGCGAGCACCAGCAAGCACGACGTGACGCCGCTCCCGGACTACGTCCTCACCTTCGCCCCGCTCTCCTACCTCTACTCGGGCGAATCCTGGTGGCCCGCGGACATCGCCGACTTCGTGACGCACGTCACCCCCCAGGTCAACTTTGACGCCATCCCGCCCTCACCCGTCACGCTCGAGAACGTGGCGACGCTGAACTCGTCCGTGTTCCTGACGAGCAACGACTTTGTGGAGGACGACGGCGGGCACGATTGGCTCACGAACGCGGCCAACATCCCGGACGAGACCGGGTATACGCCGGCGCCGGCGACGATCGTCGCCGTCGAGAAGCCGGGCGGCATCCTCGACGCGTTCTATTTTTACTTCTACGCGTTCGACCACGCCGCGTGCGTACCCCCCGCCCTCTCTTTCCGTTTCAGGAAACGTCGTTGCTAAACGCGGGGATTGGGATTTTCAGGTTCCTCGACATCCCGTTCGGCAACCACGTCGGAGACTGGGAGCACTCTATGGTCCGATTGTACGTCCGCCCGCCCACCTAGCCCCTCCCCGCTTCGTTCCCTCCTAAAACCATCGTCCACCACAGCATCAACGGCACGCCGACCGACATCTACCTCTCCGCGCACAGCGGCGGCGCGGCATACACCTACCCCGCCCTCGTCGCCCACAACTCGTCCGGCCGCGCGCAGACCTTCATCGCCGTCGGCTCGCACGCGAACTACGCCACCTCGGGGGCGCAGCTCTACCCGCTCCCCGTCATCGGCCCGCTCGCGGACCACACCAACTTTGGCCCCCTCTGGGACGTGGCGAAGAACTACCGCGGGTTCTGGTTCGATAACAGCACGCAGACGTTTAGCGTCGCGGGAGGCGTGGATATCGGCGGGCAGGAGTTGGAGGGGGAGGGCGCGGGCTGGTTGGAGTTCCTCGGGAAGTGGGGGGACGAGCAGTATCCGATCGGGTTGGAGCACGATCAGTATTGCGTGAGCGACGACGAGTGTCATTTCGTCAGCGGCCCTACCGGTGCGTATATACCTTTTCACTGCCACTACCTCATACAGCCTCTGACCGTGTTATCCTTCTCATCAGGACCGATCGCGAAGAACTTGGGACGGACGGCGGTATGCCAGGACGAGAGCGGTTGCACGATCAAGACTTCGAGGTAGATTGCATGGAATGTTTCTACGACCACTTTTCACGACAGCTTTCATCGCACGACGGACGGGTCATTATCTGGCGCTACCCTACCCAACTTCAACTGTGTATCCATACAACGTCATTATGATAAGTTATCCTCAACGAGTTGCAGTGTACCAGTCCCTGCGTTTCAAAACCTTGGCCGGCAGCTGCGCGTCTCTGCTCATCTCCGCTCAGAAGATGAACGACTCGGGCTCGATTGATCCTCACGGCCTGTTTGTGACGGTTTAGGGACCAGTGGATGTCGACAATTCGCCATCCGCATCCAGGCGCGCTACGGAAAGGACAGTATGCGGAACCTCGAGAGATACCACTGCGTCACGTTCAAGTTGGAGAGTGATGCGTTGGTGGCCGTAAGGCGTATCTGATCGACGCCTATGTCGGCAACGTTCACGGTCAATACTCTGCTGAAGAACCCTGCTAGTCTCTTCCCAGGTACATCGAAGCGCATCGTAGGATCAGTGCCCGGTTGAAGGTGACCAATGCATGTAACCGTTTTCGTCCCTACAGCTGGTACTGACCGGGATTCTGTGTACACCCCGGGCATATTACGGCCAATGTCCATTCGTTCTCCTGACGTTTCAACCCTCCTCCTCTTTTCCAGGATCGCTGCCGCGCTCGAGCATCTCAACGGAACTGGATTCTTCTCTTTTTCTTGTGCCCGTCCAAGGGGCTCGGGTCCGCTGTCCCTGGTCCATTCTTTCTTGTATAAAAAATGGATGCGACATGCAGATCGTTACGCATTCATGACTCGCATCCCCAAGGAGCATCATGGATCATAGGAATTTTCGCGACAAAGAACCCCCATGCAAAAGAATGTTTCGGAGGTACAGCACGCGCTCCAGTTACGTTACATTCGCCAATTGTTCTCTTTACAATCTCTGCTCGTCCTGTTGCACCCTCACCAACCCCGCCCATGCTTCCATCAAATCGGCAGCAGGACCGGTACTTGCACTGTTGTCAGCCCCGGCAACTGGGAGCGCGAAAGACTGATTCCACGGCTCGAACGGCCGCTGGTCAACTCGGCAGATCGTGTGATTATCGGACGGCGGGACGCCGTTGACGAAGTAGTCCCGGACCTTCTGTGCGGTACAGAACGAGGTCTGGGAGGTCGTGCAGTGGCCCCAGCCGTCGGCCTGCTGCACCAGTCGCGCGTTGTTGCCCAGCCGAGCGTTTGCCGCCCGCGCGCTCGCGAGGGAGGTGACGGGATCGTAGGTGTTCCTGGTGAGTTGCGTTGTCCCGTCAGCGATTGGGAAGGGCAGGTTGCGTGAGGTGTGCGTACGAGAGAATCAGGATGGGCGTGTCGAGCGTATCGTCCTCCATGTCGAAGGTGCCGTTGTACCGGCTCCGGCGCGGGGCGACGCCGGCCGCGTCCCAGTGGTGACAGAAGGCGAGCTTGAAGAAGCCGTCGCCGTTGCGGCGCGAGTAGCGCTCGAGCGTGCCAAGAGTGAGATCGACGATTTCCGCGTCAGACGGCGCCGCGCGGTGCTCGTCGTACGCTTTGGTATCCGCGCACTATACGATCCGGGCTTTCGTTTCAGAAAACTGGGGAGCGAGCGCGAGGACGGAGAAGGATCGAAACTCACCCAGATGGGGTACGTCACGAACCGGGAATCGTCCGGTTGACTGCCACCTTCACGATCGACCTTGGGCATGGTCACGTTCACGAGCCCGGTGAAGTTGCCCTGGAACGCCTCGCTGAGGTGCACGGCGAGGTCCGGCCAGGACGTGATGCTGTACACGGATCGGAAGACGATGTCGCGCACGTTCTGGGCGGTGGCGATCGCGGGCTGGCCGAGGCCGAATACCGGGCGCGGCTTGAGATATAGGTCGTCGATGAGCGCGTCCGTGGCGGAGACGATCTCGGTGGGCGCGAGATGCGAGAGCGCGCAGGCATCGCCAGCACCGGAGCAGGAGCGTGCGAAGGAGGCGAAGACGTTGTCTACGTCGTCGAGGCCCTCTGTACGCGGGGTCACTCATGGAGCCATAGGATGAGGTATTATGATAATCACCATGGAAGGCCAGGGCAGGGTAGTCAGACCAGACGACGGGGTTCACGACGCCGTCAATGATGACGCGGCCGATACGCGAGGGTGGCAGAATCTTGACGAGGTATTGGCCGATAACCGTTCCGTAAGAGAAGCCCCAGACTGAGAGGGGGATGGAACGGTGTTAACGAGAGTTAGAAGCGGGACCGAACTGGGATGTGCTCACAGTTGACGCGTTTTTCCTCGCCCTCGATGATGCGCGATAGGTAGTCGATGTCCCGTACGACCGCCTCCGTACCTAGCGACAGAACCGGTCACAAAGCTAGCATTTGACAAGACATACAGGACGCGCGTACCGAGATAGGGGATGTACTCGCCCGTCCTCTCCGCGCACCTCTGCGCCAGAGATGCGGTCGCAGCGCTGAATCGCGCGACCTGTTTGGAGAGATCCTCATTCGCATCCGCGAGTAACGTCTGGTTGATGGGAAGGTTGAGGTTCCTGTCGTATACGGCGGAGTAGACATCCGCGTCGAGCTTGGTTTCGAAGCAGGACAGGTAGGGACGCGTTTGGTTGATTCCCCTGGGGTCGAATCCGATGATGTCGTACTGACCTAGTGTCCTGTCAGCGATCGACGCATGAAAGTCTGTTGGGCACGTACCTTTGAGGATCTTGTTGAAGTATGGCCCACGCCTGTAGGTCATGGAGGTCCCGGAACCGCCTGTGATCCATCAGCGTGTGCCTCCGACGGCGACTGGCTACGCACCGGGACCTCCGGGGTTGATGAATATCGCGCCTTGTCTACGACGTTGCTTAGCACGGGTCAATCCTGGAGCCATTTCAAGTCTATTCACACCTATTCTCCGAGTCGGTGGCAAGGTGCTGCGTCACGGCTATTGACATGGTCCTTGGGTCGCTCCCATTGTGATAGTCCAGAGGCACAGAGATGTTGGCACATTGAAATCCGTCGCCACAGGAGACCCATATGACGCCCCTGTCGGGTGTCCTACGCCCACCATGAACGCACTTGAGGGTGTCGGCGATCAAATCCCGAGTTGTTGTCCAGAACAAGAGCAAGAGCGCGAGCAGGCAAGCGAGGATCTTCCGGTGCGGTTGCACAGCACTTTGACGAGTCGTTGAGCCGGCTGATGCAGGCAGCAATTCATCGAGCTTGCCCATATTGTAGACAGGTTAGACCCAGGTATACCACTGAGCGCGTACAGTGGCAGATCTAGATGGTCCGAGGGACGAACCCTACTCTCGGGTTCACGCGCATTGCGGTCCTGCAGTCTCGCGCAGAGAGCACGCAGAGAGGTCCACCGTGAGGTGTGGGTGAAGCGTCTCAGCTTGGGCGCAGGCCGGGTGCGAGCGCGACGGCTCGCCCCCGGCCTACTCGGTCGGATCTCTCTCAGTGTGTTCAGTGTGCTTCGGGAGTGTTGTACTCTACTCTCTATTGTAATCCCGGTTGTGAATCTAAACACTGTGCTCCTAAAAACCACGGAAAGTATGTCTATGATGACAGGGAGTGGAGGGCGGGACGAAAAAAACGACGAAGGAGCTCGACCCCCTCGTCGCCCTCGAAAGCGGAAGCAAGGGAGCCAGCGAGGCGACCTCCTCCGCCCAAGAACTGGCACCGCCACTCGTGGCCTCCGCTCCGGTGCGCCCCCTCCATCTTGTCCCTGCTTTCCATGTATTGCTGCCAATCCTCTTGACCACGGGCGCTCAGTAATGAGATGGATCCTGCACTTCCGATGGCACCCCAGCTCGGACTAAAAGATGGATTTGGCGGGGCGATGGTCGGTGCCGCGATTCTTGGCTATGGACGTCCTTTGTGCAGGTAGCTCATGAAGCAGTCCCACTGGCATTACACTTTTTCGGGAAAGCACTATGAGAGCGCCTATCTCATTGCGTATCCCTCATAGGTGATTCTATACCATTGGTAACAGGTGTCAAGTAAAGCAGTGACGGGACTGAAAAAATGATGTGGCGCGAACGGAACAATCAACAATCCAGCATGGCGTGCCACACGGGGAAGGAAACTTATTTAAGGCCCAAGGGACGATACCATCTCCACCTGCCTCTCTTTTACCATCACGATGTCGATGTACACACCATGTCTCCCCCAGGAGATGTGGGACTACATCATCGACCTCGTTCCGGAGTCCCTCGACAACAGGTCAAGTCAAGTCACGCTCCTCGCCCTTTGTCTCACCTGCAGGGCGTTCAAGACCCGCAGCCAGCAGAATCTCTATCGAGCCCCCTGTGTCTTCACCCCTGCCGTTTGCGCCTGGCTCGGAGGAACCTTCGGCACCTTTCCGACACTTTCTAGGTGTCTTACGAACCTGGCCATTGATGGGCGCCGATGGCCGACAAGCACCGTCGATGATATATTCGGCAAAATCTCTCTCAACTTGCCTCATGTTATGAAGACCTGCCGGAATATCCAACGACTCACGATCCACAACTTCTCCATCAAACAAAGCTGTGGCTATGATCTCTTCCCCTACCCAATAGATTGTGAACCGTGCCCATCGCTTCAAGAGCTCATAGTCCAGAACTGTGACTTTGGGGACTACTATGACCTCGTGGCCTTGTTCTGTGCGGCGCCCTCGCTCCATTCTTTGACCATGACAGATGTGCGTGTAGCCACATGCAGCAGATTCGCGCCCATGAAGCTTAACGGCGCGGAGATGGGCATCTACGACGTTTATCTATCCGACAGCATCACTTCATTCATATACCACAACCCCTCGCCCTCAAATCACCCTTGCCTCGACCGACATATAATCCTTTCGAGCGCTCCTTGTGCGCACCGCCTCACGGCCTCTGTGATTTCTGTCGAAGACCGTCAATTCCTTGAGGACCTCGCATATTTCGGATATACTGAGGATATCACTCTCTCAGTGAGCCGCAGGCTCCAGGGCTATTGTGAGTATCATCTTCTCATCATCTAACGCTCTCTGACCGTAGCCCTGCGCGCCGCCTACGGTCTGTCTTCTTCAGACAATTTCAAGTCACCTCTTCGTATAGGATCGCTACTATCGCTCGCCTTGAAAGAGCTCCCGTTCGATGTTCCATTCCAAGGTCCTTTAGGAGCGAAGTGCGCGAGTGAAGTCATCCTTCATCTCAGCTCTCGAGTGCTGCGAAGCATCACGCTGTGCGTCCCCGACGAACCGGGTACTAACACCGGAGATCTTTGGCCCGGGTTCAACTGGACTGCGGTGGACAGGGTGCTGGCTTCCAAACACTTTCCGGAGCTGATGGAAGTTGTGGTACGCCGGGGAAGCAACATCGTGACCCTCAGCGTGGTTCGTTCCGGCATCAGGAAGGACGACGAAGAATTGGTGACAGAAGTCCAACGACGGTTGCCCAAGTTATCTCAGAGGTTTGGGCAATGATCTCGTCTTGTTCTTCTGACTGGGCAATGCATGTTATACTGTCACGAATATTATATACGCACATTTTCCTCGTCATGGCTGCACGTTATTCAGAGACAGCGACCCTTTTTCGGGGTTCGCGGGTTTACGTAACTGTGAATCTGCTCTCCGCCCTTGCCAGCGATGACTGCGCATCATTTCAAGCTTTCAATATTAGTGTACGAAATAAATCGCTTTCAGCCACTGCCGTATCGAGTTGCATGTCCAGCCGGATCTTCTCTGCAGCATTTGGGCGCTCGACTGCTTGTTGAACATGCAAATGAGATGACACGCATAGTGCAACTTCCTTCGGGCTGCGTCGGAGGCAGGGATAACTTCTCCACATCCATACGAGAACATAAGTGAGCACGATCATTTTCAGCTATATGCCCTCATCACTGATGTGGATCTGCTAGTGGTGGACGCGATGTGGCTCTCTGTGAAAATTGCAGTTGCTTTAGGCCACACCTGCACACCGGTGGCTTGGTTTGGGGGCCACCCCAGCGGACCTTGCTGTTCGAGCACAGTTCCCAAATTGTGCTCACACGAAACGAGTACAAATAAGCCAACGCCCGGTCGGATAATCGCCACTGTTCTCGTCCTTGCGCATCTTCCGGGACTGAGACCATGTTGCGACGCTCGCCTCGACTTCCCCCGGAGATGATGGATCACGTTATCGACTTCGTACCGGAGTACCCGGACAATCAATCCAGTCAAGCTACGCTGCTCGCTCTCTGTCTCAGTTGCAAGGCTACCAAGCCACGCAGCGAGAGGAACCTCTTTAGGGCTCCCTACATCTCTTCTTCTACCGCCTGCTACTATTTTCAGAAGAAACTCACCGAGATCCCTGCCCGTCGCGAACGTGTTGAAAGCCTCGTAGTCAATGGGCGAACCTGGCTGGCTGCTTTACATATATCTGTGTCGGAGCCTCGTGGAAACACGAACTTCCACGTGCTACCAGACGTATTGCGCGCATGCCCAAACCTCAAGCACCTCACGATCTCCAATTTCTCCGATGGGCACGGATATAGCCTGCTGGAGTTTGCACGAACACAAAGAGAACACTCGGCGTTGCGATCGCTGACGGTCGAGAACTGCGAATTTCAAGAGTACAAAGACATCGAAGCCCTGTTGTGTCGCGTTCCCTCGCTCCGCTCCTTGACCATGAAGGACATAACGGTCTGTCAGCCTGTGGAAGCAGGTCTCCGCGCGGCCCAATCTCTCATCAAAGCACCTTTGATTCTACACGACCTGACCTTTCACGAAACGCGGGTCGCAGAACACTCCGATCGCTCCGTCTACGACCCCCGTTGTCACCCCCTTCACCGCTGGCTTATGGTACTCACCGCCGCTCACGCGGAACAAGTCGACGTATCGGTCATGTTCCTCGATGATCACATCTTCCTCGGCATCCTCCCTCCGTACGAAGACATGAAGGCGCTTTCTCTTTCATTCGGGCACAGGCTCCGCTGTCCCGCACCCTTTTTGCAAAAGGTGCAGAAACATGTTGTTGCACACGTGCCTGACTTCAGCTTTGGAATTTCCCACGAGACAAGACATGCGTGAGAGCTGCGCTGAGGGAAGCGCAAAGTCAGAAAAATTATTCGTTCAACCTGCACCACCATGTTCGGATATCTCATCGCAGCTGCTCGCCACGTCGTCAACGCTCTTTACCCTGCCTATGTGCAGGAGGATGAGAATCACGTTCGTCACTCCCTGCCACTCGCCATCAAGTATACACGCGAGACCGTGACCACTGTCCAGGTTCGCGGTAGCGAACACGTTGAATACACTATGCGTCAATTCGAGCCGCCTGCCTATGATGGCCACATCTTCGACACCGATTCCCTTCGCATCCCTCCAAACGAGGAGACCTGTCTGTTTTGGATGACAGAACATCCGCTTCCGCACGCACACTTCAAGCTTGGGGACATCTTTCAGTTACAGCTATACGACGGGCCCAACCAGATCACAGCAGACGTGCATTTCCAGCGAGCCATCTACAACAATGTCGACGATGTGATTGTCATCCTTGCTACTCTAGCTCCTCCCGCTTCACTCCGCCGAGGTCACACCAAGCTTTTCCGATACTTCGCCTACGAGCACTACGCCATGCTCTCTATGGTTCTCAAGAGTGAAGGTCTCCCACTCGCCGAAGATCCATGGC